GTGAGAAGGATCAGGAAACAGTATTGGTTCCCCAGGTGTCTGGGGCCCCAAGACTAGGAATGGCACAGGGTCCAAGCTAGAGTATAGAATGCCAGGCGGGGGGGCAGGGGGGTGGTGGGTGGGGTGGAAGGGTGAATGAGGCTTAGGGAGTCCCGGCGCGGAGAGCTGCGCTGTAGACTTACCCCAAGAGGCCTGAGGATAGTAGTGCTTATTTATTATTTTTTATGTGTATGAGTGTGGCCTGAGGATAGTAGTGCTTATTTATTATTTTTTATGTGTATGAGTGTATTGCCTGCATGTGTGTAAGTGCACCTATGTCGTGCGGTGCCTGTGGAGGTCAGAAGAGGGCGTCGGATCCCCCAGAACTGGAATTAAGGATGGTTGTTACCAGCCATGTGGGTGCTGGGAATCGAACCCAGGTCCTCTGCAAGAGCTCTTAACCGCTGAGCCATCTCTCCAGCCCCATCATTACTTCTTAAATGATACAATGTAACAACTTGCCTTCACTACCTGGCTTCATGCCTCCTGGCTCTCAGTCCCCATTCCTGATGATCATCCTCAGCTTGACACACATGGATGGCTCTCACGTTCCCTCCCACCCCTGTCACCCCAGCCCAGACCTTCCCTTCCTGTCTGTCTCCATTTTCCTCTAACCATGGGCACATGGACTCTTTTTCCTGGACCCTGAAGCCTCATCCACAGAGCACTGAGGCTGAAGTGGGACTTTGGAGGGTCTCCATCATTAAAGTGTGGGTACTCAGCAAGACCAAATCACCACAGCTGGGAGGCGGACTGCCGAGGGTGTCACCAAGAGTCCTTTCCTCTGTTATGGGGTTCCTGTTTTTTGGGTTTTTTTTTGTTTTGTTTTGTTTTTTTTGTCTTTTTTGAGACAGGGTCTCCCTGTAGCCCCAGCTGTCCTGGATTCGCTATGGAGACCAGGCTGGCCTCGAACTCACAGAGATCCATCTGCCTCTGCCCTGAGTGCTGGGATTAAAGGCATGCGCCACCACGCCCGGCAGATGGGGTTCCTGTTTATGTCTAAGTAGGTCAACACTTGGAGAATAACTCTCTGACCACTTAATTTCTGGGTCAGTGGTCCCAGGACAGCCTCCTGCTCTGGGCTGGGCTGGGGACATCAGGGGATTTAAGAGCTCATTTCACCAATTAGAACAGAGGAGGAGAAGCTAGGTATTGGCTGTGAGGATCCTTGGCATTGCTGAGCCAAGAGACAAGAGCCGGGCCCTTGTCCCAGGGACATGTCCCTGCCTTGACCGAGTTTCCAGCCTTGAAGTCTTCAAAACCACACAAGTTCCCCCAAAATCCCTGCAATCCAGAAATGCCTGGAGTCTATGTCAGGGATCTGTACAATTTTGTAGAGAGGGACCAGGCACTGTAACCTCCCATGTTAATCATGGAGAAACGGAAAGTCAGAAACTCCCAGACCCCGCAGCCTTTAGTGGCAGAGACCCTGGGCTGCATGTCCTGGCTTAGTAGCTTTCCCCTGCTTGTCTGAGTCCGACCTCACCCAGCCTTGTGCTTTCTTCACCTTATCTGTACATTGTCTTCTCGTACTCCTGGGTCCTGCCGGGGGAGGGGCAGCTGTAAATATTGTCATTTATTATTAAAGTGGAACTAAAACATATGGAATCTGGGTGTGGGGGTGCATGCCTTTGGTCCCAGCACTCGGGAGGCAGGGTGGGCAGATCTCTATGAGTTCAAGGCCAGCCTAGTCTATATAGTAAGTTCCAGGCCAGCCAGGGCTACATGGTGAGATGTGGAATTTTAATTCAATAAGGAATAAAGAACATATAGTTTAGGAGCTAGGAGTATAACTAGTTGGTAGAATGTCTGTCTAGCATACACAAAGCCCTGGGTTTTATCCCAAGTACCACCTAAGCCCTGCATAGTGCTGCACACCTGTGTGAGAATCAAAAGTTCAAGGAGATCCTTGCATACATAGTGTTTAAGACCAGCCTGTGTTACATACTTTGTCAAAAAGAAAAACCAAAAAAAGAATAAGCCGCTAAGTATCTCTTCTCTCTCCTGAAACCCCAGTGCATGAATAGCAAGGGACTAAAGAGATTTCAACGCACAAGCTCCCTGGTCCCTGCGGAGATCGCCCTGTTTGCCCCTGTGTGTCACACCCCACATTCCCCGCCCTTCCTGATCCTCTGGGTACTCTATGTTCTTCATCCTGTAATTATGTCATTTGGAGAATGCCCTGCGGTTACCATCACATCATGGGAGCCTGAGCTCTTTCATGCTCGCCACCAGACCCTTGAGAGCCATCTGTGGCACTGCGCTATGAATGCTTGGCTCCTTCCTTGTGGGAAATTCTTTCTTTCCACTTGCTTATATATGTAAGTGCCCCACGTACGTTCGGTGTCTGTGGAGGTCAGAGGATGGCAGTAGATTCCCTGGAACTGGAGTCATGGATGGTTGTTAGCTGCCTTGTGGGTGCTGGGAACTGAACCCTGGTCCTCCACAGGAGCAGCCAGTTTTCTTAACCACAGAGCCAGCTCCCCAGCCTGGTTTATTTAAGTTTTTGAAAACAAACAGAGGAAACATGGCACTGTTTCTTTAGTTTTTTTTTCTGAAAGTTTGCCCTCTCTTTTTTCCTCCTGGAACTCTGCTGAGCCCCAGAGGCTCTGTTTATGCATTCATCTCTTGGTGTGTTCTTTCTCTTTCCTGATTGGGTAATTTCCACTGTTTTACATTCCAGTTCAGGGACTCTTTCTTCCTTTGGTCACTACCATTTTCAGCGCTGACATTCCCGGCTGGCATAGCCTCTCTGTCTTTCCTGAAGCTGAAGTTTGTATCCACTGTTGTTGTTGTTTTTTTTTTTTTAATTTCATGTGTGTGAGTGTACTGCCTGCATGTATGTGAGCGCACTCATGTCATGCAATGCCGCGGAGGTCAGAAGAGGGCTTCGGATTCCCCTGGAACTGGAATTAAGGACGGTTCATAGCCACCATGTGGGTGCTGGGAATTGAACCCGCGTCCTCTTCAAGAGCAGTCAGTGCTCTTAACTACTGAGCCATCTCTCCAGCCCCTTGTGTTCATTGTCTTTTTAGTTATTTATGGAAACATTTTTATTTTATTTTTTTTTGTCTTTTTGAGACAGGGTCTCCTTGTAGCCCCAGCTGTCCTGGAACTCACTATGTAGACCAGGCTGGCCTCGAACTCAACAAAAATCTGCCTGCCTCTGCCTCCCAAGTGCTAGGATTAAAGGCATGTGCCACCGTGCCTGGCTGGAAACATTTTTAATATAGCTCCTTTAAAATTCTCATCAGTGGGAGAGGGGACAGAGAGATGGCTCATCAGTTAAGAGTCCTTGCTGTTCTTCCAGGGGACCCCAGTTCAGTTCACAGCACCCACATGGTAGTTCACAACCACCTGTAAGTCCAGCTCTAGGGAGATCTGATGCCCTTGGCCTCTGCTGGCCCCTGCACATATCCACACACACACATACACATAAAGAAAACGGTTGCCTTCCTCACCAGATGCTGTCCACACCTGTGTGGCCTTGTTGTGGGTGGCCGTCCCGGCTGAGTTTCCTGCTTTTTGGTGTCGGATTTTCCTGGCTCTTGGGTTTTAACTGGTCCTGGGTCCAAAATGAAGGTCTCCTTCAGCATAATCGGACTTCCCTGCTCTGCCCCTGCTGATGTCACCTGGCTGGGAGGGCAGGGCTGCTTCTCCTTGGTACCCACATGGCACCTCTGACACCAGGCAGGATGCTCTTTTTACTGATGGGTGGGATGAATGACCTGGCTCTCCTCTGAGCCCCCTAATCCCCCCACAGGGAGTGAGAGGAGGCATCATGTGCTCATAGCCAACCACATTGTCTTCACAGGAAGGTGGTGTGTGTATGTGGCTACACTCGAGAGCAGCACCTGGAGGTGGCCACCAAGCCACACGCCTTCCAGGGCAAGGAGTGGGACCCAAAGAAGCATGTCCAGGAGATGCCGACGGATGCCTTTGGTGACATTGTCTTCAGAGGCCTGAGTCAGAAAGTGGGGAAGGTGGGTCCCACCGCTGTCTTCACCTGGGCAGAGCTGTGGTGGCTCTGGTGACAAGTGGAGCAGATTTCCTGGGTGTGAGAATGAGAGGCTGGTAGGAGTCCAGGTTCACGTTGCCTACTACACACCGAAGGTTTAGAAAAGGCAGCGGAGACTCTTGTAGGCAAATAAGAATTTTAAGGCACTGAGCAGAGGGAGGTGTTCTGGGCTTCCTAAGGGAGGAGTGAGCTAATTCTGGATGGGTATCACTGGATGGCTCTGGGGGAGTGAGGAGAGGAGCCCGGGACCCTGGCACAGGTGGGGTGTGTTTTTGTCCTAGTCTGCTGCTGTGATAAACACCAGGACCAAAAGCAACTTGGGGAGGAAGGGTTTATTTCACCTTCCAGCTCACAGCCCATCGTGCAGGGAAGGCAGGCAGAAACCCAGGACAGGAGCCTAGAGATGGGAACTGAAGCACCGTGGAGGACCGCTCCTTACTGGCTTGCTTCCCCTGGCTCGCTCAGCTACTTTTCTTACACAGATCAGGCCCACCTGCCTAGGGATGGCACCGCCCACAGTGGGCTGAGCTCTCCTATATCCTTTAGCAATGAAGAAAATGCCTCACAGAGATGCCCACAGGCCAGTCTGATCTGGGAAGTTCTTCCGTTGAGATTCCCTCTTCCCAGATGATGCTAGGTTTGTGTCAAGTTGACATCTGAAGCTGACTAGCGTTTCTGACTGGCAGCAGAGTCTCAGGAAGGAGGGGAAGGATAGGCCCAGTGTGGGAAGGGGAGGGAGGAGCTACCACGGGTGGCTGAGCAGGGCTGCATGGGGCCCAGGCTGAGCCCTGGGCCTGGTGAGGAAACTGGCAGGTGCAGATGCTAGCCAGGTTATCTGGACTCTGTGTGGTCCCTGGTCCAGCTGCATCACCAGGAAGGTTCCAAACCCACCAACACCTGCCATATCGGGGCTCAGCCACCTGTATCCTTCCATCTGGACCAGCCTGACACTGCTTCACTTGTGAGATCACAGGAGCTCAGAGGCTTTCAGCCACCTGTGCTCTGACCAGGCTCCCAGAGGCCTCTGATGCTGCTCTTCCCACACTGTCCTATGGGACAGACGGGGCTGACACCACTTATTTTTCTGTTGAGGTTTGAAACCCTAGAGCCTCTTAGAAGCTGGGTGGGACCTTCTCCCTAGACCCCCTGAATGTTCTCATGGTGGTGTCCACATGGCCAAAGAAGACTGTGCAGCCCCAGCCACCCTCCGTCATATGGCCCGTGAGCACTCTCAGGACCCTGGCCATTGGTCCCCCAGTGACTGGGAAGAGGTTCTGTCACTTGGCCTCAGATGAGGAAGAGAGGCATGGTGAGGTCTCGCCTCTTCTTCAAAGCTGTGGTGCGCAGCAGTGCTGAGGGGCTTGAACCCAGCTGAACCCCAGCTCAGGTTCCTAACATGACAGCCTCCTGGTTCCAGCCACCTCCTTGAAGGTGCTGACAGGGACAGTCCCAGTTCAGCAGTACAGCAGTGGCGGTGATTCAGTGGTAGAGTGCCTGCCTGACATATGTGGGTTCCTGCATTCTGGACCAGCACTATAAATAAATAAATAAATAAATAAATAAATAAATAAATAAATAAACAAATAACAAATAAATAAATAAATAAATAATAAAGTTCACCATGGGCTCAGAGTGTTCAGGAATATGGGTCCTCCACGCAGGGACAACCCCTGGGGGTGCACAGTATGTACACAGAGCAGGCTCAAACTCAGGAAACCCAGTGATAGGACAGGGCCCTGCAGAGGGCAAACAAGGGTAAGTTTGAAGCGCTCCTTAAGCAGAGAGGACCAGTAAAGAGGGAGACTGGGCCCAGGACTTTGTAGAGAACAGGCTGGTTCTAATAGGGAGGCCCCATCATGCCCAGCTTGGTCGTCTCTTAGGGCCTCACCTCTCTTTCTTCCTATAACCCATGTCTTTTAAAAATTTTTTATTTTATGTGTATGAGTGTATTGCCTGCATGTGTGTAAGTGCACCTGTGTCCTGCAGTGCCTGTCACATTCCCTGGAACTGGAGTTATGGACGGTTGTTAGCTGCTGTATGGGTGCTAGGATTCGAACCTGGGTCTTCTGTAAGAACAGCAAGTTCTCTTAACCACTGAGCCTTCTCTCCAGCCCCATAACCCATGTCTTGACACCACTGGCCATTTTTCTTATTGGGTGTGAACTTAAGGCATATAGCCCTGGACCGGGTTGGCAGGACCCAGGTGGCCCCACCCTATGTTGAGTGTGAAGGCCCTCACTGTCCCCTGCAGGGTGCCCTCACCATTCCCTGATTCCCCTGCAGTACATCCGGGTCTCCCAGGACACACCCTCCAGTGTCATCTACCACCTCATGACCCAGCACTGGGGTCTGGATGTCCCCAACCTCCTCATCTCAGTGACTGGAGGAGCCAAGAACTTCAACATGAAGCTGAGGCTGAAGAGCATCTTCCGCAGAGGCCTTGTCAAAGTGGCCCAGACCACAGGTGGGTGTTGAGGCCCTGCCCAGGCCATGGGTGCAGGGTGGGATGAGGGGGAACTGTGGGGGTCAGGGCTGCAGGGACTGGAAAATCCCTGGGGATGGCCGAGTCTGTGACCTCGTCAGGGTCAGACACCCCAAACCTCTCAGCTACAGAAAGCACTTCCATTGGTGCCCAGCCACCCCTCAGTTCACACATGGGCAGGCCAGTGGCAGCTTGTAACCTGAAACAATGTAAAGCCTTGAAGTAGTGAGCATCTTTGGAGGACCCGAGGAGCCAGAGGCATCAGAGCAGTCAGGATTAATCAGGATGTCAGAAGGACATCCTGACGCAGCTGGACTCTCTCCTTAGCTTGGCCAGCCAGGAGAGCAAGGCCTGCCCCTCCGCCAGGCACCTGTCTCCTGGGATGGATTATTTCCCAAAGCCGTTCTCTAGAAAGAGCTACAGACAGGCCCAGGTCCTCCTGGGTGGTGTGAGGCCCATGCTACCCAGCCCTGAGTTCACAGGGAGGTGGGCCACTGGTCCCCAAGGTCTCCTGAGGTCCCTTTGAAGTGACCTGGACAGAGCTGTGACTCTGAAGTGGCAGGAGGGGCCAATGGTTCAGGATAGTGTTGTTTGGGGCACATGTGAGCTAGGGTTACCCAGCTTGTTCTAGGCTCTGGGTTTAATAAAGGCTGTGAGGATCTTGTTTAGTCCCAGCTGAAGCAGACTGTGAACTGGCCTGTGGGGCTCATGCCTCCTTACTCCAAACACTGGCCAGGTGGCTGTGGGGCACACCTGCTCCTCTTACCCTGGGCACCCCAGGTTTCCTGACTCCCATCTCCCTTCAGCCTTGCTTATAAATGGACTTTGCCTTTCCTTGACCTGATCATGTGGGACTTGGCTTAATGCTGCTAACCACACACAAAGTACGGTCACAATCCTGTAGCCTTTGGTGTTGAGGACCCTCGGGTCATTCCTGGCCATGGTTTTTCCTGGTGTCCATGCTGCATGATCTCAACATTTAAAAAATTTTATTTTATTTATTATTTTTATGTGTATGAGTGCATTGCCTGCATGTATGTAAGTGCACCCGTGTCGAGCAATGCCGCGGAGGTCAGAAGAGGGTGTTGGATCGCCTGGAACTGGAGTTACAGACAGTTGTTAGCCGCCATGTGGGTGCTGGGAATGGAACCCGGGTCCTCTGTAAGAGCAGCCAGTGCTCCTAACCCTGAGCTGTCTCTCCAGCAGCCCCCACCTCAACTTTTAACACCCATTTCCCTGACGCCCACTTCCCAGCCCCAGAGCCACTGCCATGTGCTAATGTGCTAGCTTTTTGTTTTTGGTCTTTTTGAGATGGGGGCTCCCTGTAGCCCCAGCTGGCCTGGAACTCTCTTTGTAGACCAGGCTGGCCTCAAACTCACAGAGATCTGCCTGCCTCTGCTTCCCGAGTGCTGGGATTAAAGGCGTGTGCCACCACGCCTGGGTTTTTTTTTTTTTAATATTTTATTTTTATTTTATGTGTATGCATGCATTGCCTGCATGTATGTAACTGCACCCATGTCATGCAGTGCCTGTGGAGGACAGAAGAGCCTGGTGGATCCCCTGGAACTGGAGCTACTGACAGTTGTTAGCTGCCATGTGGGTGCTGGGATCCAAACCTGGGTCTTCTGCAAGAACAACCAGTGTTCTTAACTGCCGAGCCATCTCTCCAGCCACCACCCCCCACTTTTCAAAAATATCAACACGACTCCTGGCTTCTGGGCCCTGATTTTGGAAGTTTGTACAGCTCTGTGCAGTAAGCTAACACCCAGCAACAGCAGACAGGCCCTGGTCTGGGCACCAGGGGCTGGGGCTTTGCCCTTGTGTTCCTTCCTCAGGGATCAGGCCAGTCCAGCAAACACCACTGGTCACTTGCTGCTCTTAAGGCAGCACTGGGTCAGTTCACTTTCAATCCTGGCATTGTTTTGCTGGTCAGTGTGCAGTGACCAAGGTGGCCCTGTGGGTGGGCAGTGATGGGAAGAGGGTCCACTGCAGGGGTTACCCGTAGATGGAGCCTGTGTCCCCCGTATGGAGCAGCGCGAAGGGGTGGAGACATGGGCACCATCCACTTCTGTTGGGTCCCAAACACTGAGAAGAAGGGAAAAGCTTCAGGTCTTCCCGAAATAGAAGATTCAGACCCTGTGTGCTCCTCAGCCTGGGACAGAGAGAAGGCAGAGGGGATGGGGAGACCTACAGACAGAAGACGGCAGGGAGGCCTCCGTTCCTGTCCTCTCCCATAGTCGTCTTTGCTACATGGAGAACCTCAGGTCCCGAAACTGCAGCAGGAAGATGCTGACACAATGTCACAGTGTCACTCTCCTTAATCCTATGGACTTACATCTTCCCACATGCTTGAGGGCCTGAGGATGGAGCCCCAGTCAGCTCCGTGTCACTATCAGCATGGTGGGGTATGCATTGGGACCTAAAGGCCTGACCTGTCTCTTTCTCCAGGGGCCTGGATCATCACTGGGGGGTCCCACACAGGCGTGATGAAGCAGGTGGGCAAGGCGGTGCGGGACTTCAGCCTGAGCAGCAGCTGCAAGCAAGGAGAAGTCATCACCATCGGCGTGGCCACGTGGGGCACCATCCACAACCGTGAGGGGCTGGTCCATCCCATGGTGAGTGGCTACTCCAGAGTGAGCCTGGGTCAGAGGAGGAAGGCCGGGCGCAGAGGGAGAGGAGTGTGAGCTCTCCACATTACTGCCCTGTGGGCGCCAGCAGGAGTGAAGCAAGGGAAGAGGTGGGGTGGGAACAGGAGCTCTGGCTCAGGTCCCGTGACACTGCGGACACACTGGGCACTCAGGTCCCGTCACACTGCGGACACACTGGGCACTCAGGTCCCGTCACACTGCGGACCAGGAGCTAACATGGGCAGACTCCAGTGTCCTGGCTCAGCTTTGCAGGAGGGATCCACACACAGGCCACCACTAGAGAGAACACATCCCAAGGGCTGCTTTATTGAGAAATGGGCTGCAGGGAGGGGATGACTGACCAGGACCACTCAGCCAGCACCCATGTGGAGCCAGGCTGTCAGCCCACAAAGCCTGAGCTTTTAACTCTGAATCTCTGTGCTCAAGGGATTCCACAGAGCTGTGGTCTCTGGCAGTCAGCAACAAGTCAGGCTGTCCTTTGAGGCTGTGGCGAGAGACTCGGTTGTTTGGAAATGGAGATTGAGTTGAATTGTTCTGATTTCCTGACTAGGTTTTTTTTTTAAAAAAAAAAAAATACTGTGACTGTATTGCCTACATGTTTGTAAGTGCACCCGTGTCGTGCAATGCCCACGGAGGTCAGAAGAGGGTGTTGGATTCCCCTGGAGCTCGAGTTATGGATGGTTGTTAGCTGTCATGTGGGTGCCGTTATCTGAACCCAGGTCCTCTGCAAGAGCAGACAGTGCTCTTAACCCCTGAGCCATCTCTCCAGCCCCATTTACAGAATAGATTTTTCTAAGAAGACATTAGATATGTCATTATGAGGACACATGCATTTAATTTAGTCAGAGCGGTAGGAGGACAACTTGGCCTGTGACTGGCTAAGAAAGTTCATTTCTTTCTTTTTTATTTTCTTCCTTCCTTCCTTTCTTTCCTTTTTCTTTTTTTCTTGAGGTCTCACTATGTAGCTCTGGCTGACCTGGAACTCACTGTGTAGACCAGACTGGCTTCAAACTCACAGAGATCCTCCTGCCTTTGCCTCCCAAGTGCTGGGATCAAAGGTGTGCGCCCCCATGCCTGGCTGCTGACAAGACTGTTCATGGCCCTGCGTGCGGCCGCTCCGGCTCAGTGGGTCTTTGTCAGGCACAGCTTTTCTTGAGGGAGTCTTGGTCTTCCTTTTGTGTCAGGATCATAGACAGTCTATCTGGGCAGCTAGATAGGCTGACTGCTCCATCTTACTCATTTTATGGTGTGAGACTGAGGTTAAGAGAGGCTGGGTGAGCTCAAGCTCTCTCTCAACTCCTCCCCATTCTGAGTTGAGAATCTTCCTGGTATTCATCTGTCCTGTCCTCTGTGGACAGTGGAGGACACATGTCTGACACAGCAGTACCCCCCAGGTAGTCTCTTTGGGGTACTGTAACACGTGACCACAAGCTGGGTGGCATAAAACACCTCCATTATCTTCCTACTATTAGAAGGAAGATAAAGGAGGTGTTGGATTCCCCTGGAGCCCACAGTGTGGGCTCAGTATCACTTGACCCCAGTGAAGACAGGGCTGTGTACTTCCATGGGTCTGAGGAGGACCCTTCCTGGTCCTCTAGCTACTGGTGGCCAGTGGGAGTCCCTGGGCCCACTGGGTGATCTGGGGCTATCTCAGTCTCATAGCAGGATCCTTCACTGGGTCATCTGGGGCTATCTCAGCCTCATAGACGGATCCTTCACTTGGTGATCTGGGGCTATCTCAGCCTCATAGCAAGATCCTTCACTTACTCACGCCAAGATCCTTCTGCCAAAGAAGGCAACGTTTACCAGTCCCAGGCATAATTGGTGTCTCCGTGACTGCCATTCAGTCTACCACCATCCACCCCCTGGTCCCTCGAGTCACGTCCATCTCACATGCAAAATATGTTCACCCCACCTCCCAAACACCCACATTACTAACTCATTTAAAACTCAACTCAAAGTTCAATCTCCTACTTAATTACCATGAGCTTTAAAGCTCCGAATCTTATCATCTATATAGAATCAGGAGAGTCAGCAAGATGGCTCAGTGAGTAAAGGTGCATGCTACCAAGCCTGATGACCTGAATTTGATTCCCAGGACCCATATAGTAGGAGAGAACTGACTCTTACAAAATTTTCCCCTGACCTCTGTGCATCAAGCAATCAATCAATAAATGTAATTTGAACGAATTAAATAGGATGGGGGTGAATGACTCCTGTGAAGTGAGAACAAGTTCCTAGTCCCACAGTGCAGTCAGGCTCCACATAACAGTTGTCTATTCTCATCGCAGAATGGAAATATGGAAGGAACGGAGTGGTCGCTGGTCTCGCAAGGAAAATCTCTAGGTTGTAACCCTGGGACAGTCCCCTGAGGATGGACGCTCCACCCTCTGGGTTGCCCTGCCTCTGCATCCCAACTCTGCCCTGAGAGGACATTTCCTTTTCCTCGAGGGCCATCAACTGATTTCCCGCATGAAGGATTCGGGAGTCTGACAACCTTCTTTCCTTCATTCCTGTGCCTGTTACAGTTTTTCAGTGTTTTTGTTGATAAAATATTTGGGTCATAGGGATTTATGGCAGCAGGCATGGAAGTTCTCCACAGACCTTGTTTCTCTTCCTGAGATGGTTGGGTGAGTTTACAGTCGGATGCCCCTGTCACACTCCCTCTAGAGTGTTCTTTTTGTCACAGTGACAGTTTATAGCACCATCCTCAGTCTCAGTAGGCTGAGATTTTCCCAAGTCACTGCACCCTGGTTCATTTTTACCCACTGGTCCCCTCCTTTTACAGCAGGAAGCCAGGTTGCACGTCAGCACTTTGTTTGGGAAGTCCTCAGCTAAACAGCCACACTTAAGCTTTCCAGCTCCTGCTAGTGTAACAACGCTGCCCCTCATGTTCTAGAACCCATTTCTTGTCTCCTGAGCCTTTCACGGGAGACCTTGTTTCTCTTCCTGAGATGGTTGGTGAGTTTACAGTCGGATGCCCCTGTCACACTCCCTCTAGAGTGTTCTTTTTGTCACAGTGACAGTTTATAGCACCATCCTCAGTCTCAGTAGGCTGAGATTTTCCCAAGTCACTGCACCCTGGTTCATTTTTACCCACTGGTCCCCTCCTTTTACAGCAGGAAGCCAGGCTGCACGTCAGCACTTTGTTTGGGAAGTCCTCAGCTAAACAGCCACACTTAAGCTTTCCAGCTCCTGCTAGTGTAACAACGCTGCCCCTCATGTTCTAGAACCCATTTCTTGTCTCCTGAGCCTTTCACGGGCAGTGCATTGTACGTTCACAGCTTTACCAGAATGCTGTCTAGTTTACACACCTTCTCTAAGGTAGTGAAAGTCTTTTATGTTCCTCAGTACCCCCGCCCCACGAGCTTCCCCATGATCTCCAACATCTCTATTTCTTTTTTAAAAAAATATTTTATTATTTTTTTATTTTCTGTGTTTGAGTGTAATGAAAGCAACAGTGCTGTGGAGTGAGGGTGTGAGAGCTGCTCCCCCTGCTGTGCTGGGCGGCTGCTTCCTGCCCCTTCCAGGTTCCAGAAGCTCCAGGCTTTCTCTGTCTTGTGACTCCAGCCCCAGCCTCTGTGGGCACATCGCGCGTCCGCCTCTCGTGTGCATGAGTCTTGCTCCACCCTGCAGAGGGGTCTCCTGAGGGATACTTGAGGGAGCTCTTCAGGCCCCTCAGAGAATCCAGGTTCATTTCCCCATGTTTAGATCCTTAACATCACAGCTGCAAGGGCCCCTTTTCCAAATAAGATAACACCTGCAGGGTCCGGGGTTTAGGACTTGGTATCTTTGGGGGTTTATTTGTTACTTTTCTGTTACTATAATAAAATACCAGGACCACAAACAACTTATGGAAGAGTTTATATGGGATTACAGTTGCAGAAAGGTAAGAGCCCATCATGGCAGGAGGCATGGTGTTAAGAAAGGGAAGCTAAAAGCTCACATCTTCACTGTAAATGGGAAGCAGAGAGAACAAACGGAAAGCGGGGTGGACTATGAGCTCTCAAAGCCCGCCAACAAGGCTACTTCCTCCAACAAGGCTACACTTCCCAAAGAGCCCACGAGCTCCCAAACAGTACCCCAACTGGGGACAGTGTTCAAATACGTGCGCCTATGGGGGACGTTCTCACTCAAACCACTATAGGAAGACATTTCCCAAGCCAGTAGACCCCACTCCTAGCTTGCAGGTGTGACCCTTCCCTGGCCATCCACAGGGAGGCTTCCCTGCCGAGTATCTGCTGGACGAGGAAGGCCAAGGGAGCCTGACCTGCCTGGACAGCAACCACTCCCACTTTATCCTGGTGGACGATGGGACCCATGGCCAGTATGGTGTGGAGATTCCCCTGAGGGCCAAGCTGGAGAAGTTCATATCGGAGCAGACAAAGGAAAGAGGAGGTACGCTGAGGGCACTCAGCAGGAGAGCCACAGCTGGCTGTGACCTGCGCAGTGACTGGAGGTGAAATCACGAGGCATTTGTATGCATTTCTCGGATCTCTGGTGGCTTCTTCAGGGGACCCTCTCTTCTCTTGCCCCTTTGATCAGCAGAAGGAGGTCAGTGTGGGTCTGTCTGTTTGCTTTCAGGTAACAGAACATCCTACGCTTTCAACCAGAAAGTCTCAGGCTCTGAAATGACGACAGAACCCACAGCTTGACATTGTGGGAGGAGAGGTGGGGTACAGGACCATGGGAAGAACCACCAGACTTAGTGTATGAGCTGGAAGGGAGTGCAGAGATCACCGGGAGGGGTTCCAGCTAAGCACCCATGTTGTTTGAGATGACTCTGGGCAGCAGGTCTCCAGCTTCCCCCATGAGCACCTCTCGTTCTGGAATCCCTCCCGCCCCCAGGATCTGGGTGGGACAGGAACTCGCATTCTCCTAAGTTCCATGAGAGATCTGCGTGTTGCTTTGACTAGAAGAACCCAGGGTAGGGTGTGAGGAGACAGGGACAGCTGCTGCCGGCGGACTTCGCTGCCCTGGGGAAAGGACTCCTAACTTCACCTCCACGTCCCCTGCCTGCTGGGTAGCACTGAACAAAGCAGAGAGCACATGCTCTCCGCACCACCCAGCCTGTCAAGGACGGGTCAGAGTCCCTTCCTGGTGTTCTCTTGGGTCAGCCTAGATTTTGAGGCCCCATGAAAAGAGCTGCAGAGAAAGGCAAGCTGGCAACAGTGGCCTGCTGAGCGGAGAGGACAGGGTTCTGTGCTTGTCTTGCTGCACAGGAAAGCAGTCAGGAGTGGGGTGGGATACAGGGGCAAGGGTGTGGGTGTGGTCAGGTGCAGGGGTGGGCTGTGGTCTGGCAGTTGCTCATTCATGGTGAGTGAGGAATTTGTCTGCAAGCCAACATGGTCCACCTTTAGCAGCTGCCCATCCATCTGCCAAAGGCCCAGCTGGTGTTTCCCTACGAGACTAGCCTGGAGTTGTCAGAATGGGGAAGGGACCCCAAAGAGAGGGTACACGTTCTCTACCATGTCCTCATGTCCCTCACATGGGCTACATGTCTGCCTAGGTGTGGCCATCAAGATCCCCGTTGTCTGTGTGGTGTTGGAGGGAGGCCCTGGCACACTGCATGTGAGTACCACCTGTTTGCAGCCTGGGTGCTCGGGTCCCCACTGTGGAGGGAGGCCGGCTACAGGCGCTTTTGCAAGCATCTTGGTGGCATCACCATCAAGACACAGTGGTATGCTGTCCTCTGGAGAAGGGGACCGTAGGTCAGGGATGTTTCCAGATGGTCGAGGATGGACTCAGGGCTAGACCCTCATGTAGGAAGGATGACTTGGTTTCAGCCTGGATGGTGGTAGGGTGGCCAGCACCGCTCCCTGGACCCCTTGGGGAAGTACCTCACCCAGTTCCCAGGCACTGCTTTCAAAGCACAGGCTCCAGCCTCAGTCCAGCACCGGTAACTAGTGGGTGTCTAAAGCAGGTTCCTTGGGGTCTAACACTGCTCTTCAGACCTTCTCTCTGGAGTCACACTGTGGTGTGGGACTTGTCCGCTCGTGGATACTGACCACCTCTGCCTGCCCTGACAGATGTGGGGCAAAGCTCTGCGTGTTTTATTTATGGGATCACTGAAAAGGGGCTTTTGTTTTATGAACCCAGAAGGTCAGAACAGAGCCCTGGGTTTTTGGGTTGGATGGGGATCTGCAGAGCATCGTGGTCCTGTCCCTACCAAGGCCGAGCCCTTCGAGGCTTTCCTGCAGGCAGGCCACACTGCGCTTGCTCTCCCCAGGGCAGGTTCTCTTTGTTAAGCGCTGAAGGCCTTCTGCCTGCAGGGGGCAGCGCTGTTGTAGCCCTCAGCCAAGCACACATGGGACTCGGGTTTTCCTCATGGTCCTGGTGTCCCCTGAGCTTTGGTCATTCTTGGTCCACACGCATCTCTTTGGGAAACACTTGAGTCCTATGGTCAATGGTGTGTCACGGTATCTTTTCATGACTGTGGTATCAGGGGGCATTGGGCGTTGAGTGACAGCTCTCGTCAGGTGCACCAGGGGTGAGCTCTCCAGGCAGCAGCTTCTGTGTCCCTGTGTACAGTGAACTGAAACAAAGCTAGTGTGGGCTTCCAGAAAGTTCCAGCCTCAGAGCCTCATAGGCTCACGTCAGCAGCCTTAGCTGCCGTCGGAAAATGCTCAATTTAAAAAATACTAGAACCAGGTGAGGATTCCAGACAGTTCACAATTGGTCCTGATGTTGCAGACCATCTACAATGCCATCACTAATGGCACACCCTGTGTGATCGTGGAGGGCTCTGGCCGCGTGGCCGATGTCATTGCACAGGTGGCCGCCCTGCCCGTCTCTGAGATCACCATCTCGCTGATCCAGCAGAAGCTCAGCATCTTCTTCCAGGAGATGTTTGAGACCTTCACTGAAAGCAGGATTGTGGAGTGGACCAAAAAGGTGAGTCTACACAGCAGCCTCTGCTCCAGCCTCATAGCCTCACGGGAGCACTCATGGGGTAGCCTCAGAAATACCCATCTCCCTGGTCCAGAAGCTGTGTTTCAGGGTGGGCCCTGATGAACTCTGAAGAGACATCAGGCCTTGACAGCCCCCACAGGGTGTCTGTGTGAAGGATCATGGCCAATCAGACCACCCCTTCCCCTCCAACACCCATTGACTCTTGTGGTCACCAGACTGGCTGTTTCCTATAGTAGAACACCAGGACCACAGGTACATGAGCTCCAAGGTCCCTCCAAGGTTTCCTCGCAGCAATCTCATGAGTAGGGGGAGACCCCTGTGAGCCTCGGTTTCCCCCAAATAGATTACTGGCAAAGCAGCGAGTGTCTGCGCCTTTGGCCACTCCCTGCAAGGCAGGCCATGTCTCAGCTTGGTGCTCACAGCGGAGCTTTTACACGCTCACGTGAGTTTCTCGGGGTAAGTGTGAGCAGCGTTGGCTCGGTTGAGCTGAATTTAGGTTCTGTGGGCAACTGGATCCCACCAGCCACAGGCCAGAGGGACACACTGGAGCTGCCCGTGCTGGGCTGTGAGTCAGAGGGGTGGGCTGGAGGGGCTTAGGCTCTGGTAGAACAATGGGACATGGGGGCCCCCTGATAGGGTGACTCAGTAACCTGGTTTTAGCTTTGCCAAGGACTCAGAGTGACTTTGTTTAGTGTGTACACTGTGAGATTACCCAGCTGGGAAGCACTGTGAGTTCTCTGAGCTCCTTGCCCCACTCTTCAATCTTGAAGGCCTTTGCGTCCTTGCCAGGGGTGTTGAGAGCTGTCTGGCAGGCCTGGAGCCGCTCCTCAGCAGCATTATAAATTATTCAGGCAATTCAGAGAACTGAGTTTAATCTACCATGTCCCAAAGTGCATTTTGTTAATATGTTTATTTTATTTGTGTGTGGGGGCATGCGTGTCAGCCCTACAGGTACATGTGGAGGTTATAGGACAACTTTTGGGAGTTGCTTTTTCCTTTTACCATGTGGGGCTTGGAAGATTGAAGTCAAATCATCAGGCTTGGTGGCAAGCATTTTTACTGGCTGAGCCATCTTGCAGGCCCCTAGAAGTACTTAGTTTTTGAACCCACTGCCTGATGCCAAGTTGAGTTTCATACAAAGCCACCTCAGACCTGGGATCATCGCCTGCCTTTATTATTCTCTGGGTGTCAATCTGTATTGTGCTGGGTACAGGGATGATGGGAGGGAGACCCAGACAACTGCCCAGAGGTGTCACTGTGGGGTGAGCCACCACACAGTTATAACCATGGCCAAGGTGAGCTGGCTTTTCTGTGCCCTCAGCATTGATTTTCCCGTCTGCATGTGAGAGACCAGGTGCCTAAGCTCCCAATGACAGGAGACTCCTGGGGGAAGTGTCCTCACTGCGTCTGCTCACAGCCCTCATTAACAGTAGATGCTTCACAGCGCAGACCTGGGGAGAGGTTCCATTCAGGGGATAGGATTGGTTTTGACTAGGGGAGAAGGGGCTGGAAGCATTGGAAGCTGCTGAGAGAGCTTGACTGAAGGGTGGGGAAGCGGGGGTTGGGGGGAGCCTAGGTCAGGTCTTTAAGCAGGACCTAGGGCATGTGAGTCTGCCCACAGGAGTGTTAGTCACTGTTCTTACTGTGACAAAATACCTGACTGAAGCAACTTAAGGGAAGATGGATTTTATTTCAAGGCTTAGAAATGTGCAGTCCAGGGCTGCAGAGAGGACCTGGTTCCCAGCATCCACATGGTGCTCACCACAGTCTGTAACTCTAATTTCAAGGAATCTGACACCCTCTTCTTGCGTCTGTGGGCATTGCATGCATGTGGTGCACATACACACACAGGGGCAAACACCCATACACATAAAACTAAACAAATAAAAAAAATTTTTTAGTCTTTTTGAGACAGGGTCTCCCTGTAGCCCCAGCTGTCCTGGAACTCACTATGTAGACCGGGCTGGCCTTGAACTCACAGAAAGCCACCTGCCTCTGCCTCCCTAGTGCTGGGATTAAAAGCATGTGCAACCACACCTGGCCCATAAATAAAATTTTTTAAAAGACAAGCGTGTAGGCCATGATGGTAGGGAAGGCACGGCAGCATACATGGTGGCAGGAGCATGTGGTTTGAACTCCGCACACATTCATGGGTCAGGAAGCAGCGTGGGGAGTGCTGGCACTCAGCTGGCTCTCTCCTTTCCCTCTAGTCTGAACTTCTCACCTAATGGAATGTTGCTGCCCATGTCAGGGTGGGTCTTCTCCCCTCAGTTAATCTCTGGAAAAGCTCTCACAGACATACCCAATCCAATCCAATCAATCAATCCAATCAAATTGACAAGCCAAACTAACCATCACAATAGTGGGGGAGGGGGGCAGTATGGCCAGGCTGTGAGGAGGAGTGGAGGAAGGTGAGGACAACCTGGGGAGGTCAACCTGGGGAGATGCAGGGCATTTGAAGATGCTTCTAGAAGTGAGATTGTATGTGTGCGTGGGAACTAGTAACACTCATTTGTGGACTGGTGACCCTGCTGAAAAGGGAAGGGGCTTGGAGTAGGGATAAGTGGTAGGGGACACAGCTGGAGGAGATGTTATGATTGACAGATGATGGATGGATGGGTAGGTGGATGGACAGATGATAGATTGATAGACACATGGGTAGATTTATGTATAAATGAATGGATGTGTTACTAGTGATAGGTGATAGGTGGGTACATGGATGGAAAGTTAACTAAATGGGTAAACACATGGGTGTATGGACAGATATACACGTGGACAGATAGATATGGTGGGGGATAGGTGGATGGATAGGTAGATGGGTGCATAGATAGATACAGGTCATTAGGTGGGGTGAGGAGAGGCTGGAGCTCAGGCAGGAGGAAGAGTCTCACTCATTTTAAGCCACACTGTCTGTCATGATACAAGTGAAGATTCCTGATACTTGGCTGATATTTCCCACTGAGACCACTCACAACAGGATGCCTTTGTCTTTACCAGATGAAATGGTAGCTCTGGCCACACAGGGAAGGCAGCCTTGTGCTCAGGGCTCTGGCTCCTTGTTGGAGCCTCAGTCCGATGTGTCCTTCAAGGAGGCCAAACATCTCATCACTCTGCATCTCCCTGGAAAACGCTTGTTGCAGATCCAGGATATTGTCCGGAGCAAACAGCTGCTGACAGTCTTCCGGGAAGGCAAGGACGGTCAGCAGGATGTGGATGTGGCCATCTTGCAGGCTTTACTGAAAGGTGAGGCCAGGGGCAAGGGAATAAAAAGGAGGGAGGAAGCCAGAGAGTGTGCGCTGGGCGAGGAGGTCTCAGCTGGATACACTGGCCACAGAGCAGCTGCAGTGGCTCATGTTGAACTCAAAGGTACCCATTACCTTTGGTACCAGCCACGTTACAGTCAAGCTTTTAGAAGACAAGGTATCCTCAAACCAGCAAGGGAGAGGTGACTTGTCACGTTCAAGGGTGCCTCAACAGGATTATCTGAAGATTTCTGATCAGGGCCTCTGGATGCCAGAAGGTAGTGGGCTCAAATGTTTAAAATGTCCCAAAAGGGGCTGGATAGATGGCTTGGCGGTTAAGAGCATTTGTAGCTCTTCCAGAGGACCCAGGTTCAGTTCCCAGCACCCACATCAGGTGGTTTACAGCTGTCTGTTAAGTCCAGTTCCATGGGATCATATGCCCTCTTGTGACCTCTGAAGCTACTACATGCATATGATACACATATACTCAGGCCCACACCATAAAAATAGTAAATAAACCTTTAAAAAATACTGCTATAGAAACGATATTACCCAGAATCCTGTATCTGGGAAGACTGTCCTTCAAAAGTGTGGGAGAATGGGACTGGAAACATGGCTCAGTAGTTAAGAGCGCTTACTGCTCACCCAGAGTATCTGAGTTCAGTTCCGAGAATCCACATGGGCCAGCTCACAGATTTGACACACTCTTCTGGCCTTTTCAAGCACCCTAACACATGTGGCACACACAGAGACACAAACACACACACACATAAGTAAAAGCATTAAAAAAAATCCATAGACCAGGCGTGGTGGTGCACACCTTTAATCCCAGCACTGGGAAGGCAGAGGCAGGCAGATTTCTGTGAGATCAAGGCCAGCCTGGTCTACATAGTAAGAGTCTGTCTCAAAAAAAAAAAATTACAGGTGTGGCTGCCAGGGGGCAGCCACGGGACCTGAATGGATCACATGGAACTGAAAAAAGACCAGGGGACTTGTGCGGTTCTATTTCTTTACTCATTTCTTTGTCCACACATGAGTGCCAAACAGGCAACTCTGTTTATGTACTCAGAGTCGTTAGAGCTGCAGTTGAATGTTTACAGAACAGTGGATAATAATAAAGAGGCTAGAATATAGGAGTTTAGTAAAATGTAATGACCAGGATAGCAGTACCATCATAATATGCCTTGAGAGATAAAACTGTCTCCTGAGAAACTGGGGGAGTACTGGCATTCTGGAGATAACTCCTTAGCCAGTGTTCCTGCATAAACTTTCAAATGAGACGAGGCTCTCAGCGTACATGTCCAAGGTTCAGCTAAATTTACCAAGCACATTTTTAAAGCCATAGGAACAGCATTTCACAGCCTCTTTGTACAGGTAAACACATGGGTAGTACAAAAGTCAGTATTGTGACAGTGGTTTATAACTGCAGTTTTTATTTTCATCACTGAAGGGATTAATACAGTAACAATTATTAGTCTCAGTGCTAGTATTGTAAGCCAGGCCTTGTGTCTCATAAACCCAGCACTTGGGATGCTGAGGCAGGAGGATAACTGCAAGTTTGAGACCAGGCTGGGCTACATAATGAGTTCAAGATTGGCTTGTGGGGCTGGCAAGATGGCTCACAAACACTACTGTGCTAAGTTACACTTACATGAGGAGCCCAGAGCAGACAAATGCATAGACAGGTGGAATCACAGTGCTGGGCTGGGAAGGATCTGGGAAAGGGGTCTGTGTGACACTATTCCTGGGAAGGCATGAACAGATGTCTAGGGAACCCACAACAGACCAAAGTCACCACATGTGTGCAAGTACCTGCGGTGGCCAGGACGGGGTGTTGGATCCTCTGGAGCTGAGTCACAGGCAGTTGTGAGCTGCCCAAGGTGGGTGCTGGGAACCGAACTCGGGTCCTTTGGGAGAGCAGCAAGGGCTCTTAACCACTGAGCATCTCTCCAGCTCCACATTTCAGGGGTTTTCTTTCCCTTTGTAGTTCACATTCTCTGTGTCCCAGCTCAGAACACTACCTCTGCTGGCTGCAGCACAGCTTTGACCCAACCTGGCTCCCTGAAGGACACTCTAGAGCAGTGGGAGGGAGTGGTGGCAGTTCTTTCTCTTCTCCAAATAGGAACCATGTTTTAAACAGTTAAAACAGGGCTTGGGAGGTGGCTCAGTAAAGTGCTGCCATGCAGGTAGGAAGGTCTGAGCTGTGATCCCCAGCACCATGTAAGGCTGGGCACACTGGTGCACATCTGTGATCCGTCACTGGGCAAGTGGAGACAGGCAGATCCCCAAGTCTTGCTGACCAGCCAGCCTAGCTGAATTGGTGAGTTCCAGGCTCAGTGAGAGACACTGTGTCCAAAAAATAAGGTGGACAGCAACTGAGGAAGACACACCCATCGTTGACCTCTGGCTGCCACGTGTACATGTGTGATGTGCACCTGAACACATTTGCGCGCGTGCGCGCACACACACACACACACACACACACACACACACACACACACACTAGCTAAAATGAGAGTAGACTCCGGAATGCATGTCTGGGGAATCTGGGTGGTTCAACTGCTGCAGTTGGACAGTTAGAATGGAAGTAGAATTGGCTGTCTTAGTGCTTGGAGTTCAGGGTTCTGCATGTTAGTGTGAACGCCTGCTTTTCAGAGCCTTGTGTCTTCTTTCTTTAAAAAATATTTTATTTATTGTTTTTTTATTTTATGTGTATGAGTGTATTGCATGCATGCATGTAAGTGCACCCGTGTTGTGCAATACCTGTGGAGGAGAGGGTGTTGGATCTCTTAGAACTAGTTACAGACAGTTGTCAGCTGCCATGTGGGTGCTAGGAATCGAACCTGGGTCCTCTGAAGAGCTGCCAGTGCTCTTAACCACTGAGCCATCTCTCCAGCCCCCTTATGTCTTCTTTTAATAGTGGGCTCTTTCCTCATGCTGTAACCCACCTGTCACAGGGGCTAGGAGTGGCTGGACATGACCCAGGGTGGGGAGATGGGGTAAGCTAAGGTGATGACTGGAACCACAAGATTATCTGAGTCTGTAAATGAAAAATGCTTTAGGAAGTGGGTGTCATGGGGTGGAGGTGGCTCATGACTGGGCCCTGAGATCACTTTAAGTTGCTAAGGGACTAGCATTCCGAACCAACTCCTGAGCCCCACTCCAAGCCCCACATGGAAGCCCCTGACCCACATGCTCCCCACCCATAGCCTCTCGGAGCCGAGACCGCTTTGGACATGAGAACTGGGACCATCAGCTGAAGCTGGCGGTGGCTTGGAACCGGGTGGACATTGCCCGTAGTGAGATCTTCACTGATGAGTGGCAGTGGAAGGTTAGGTGTGAGCTGCCTTGGGTGGGCGGAGGGGGGGGTTGGGGAGGGGAGGGCAAAGTTCTCCAAGGTCCCAACCCTGCCTCAGGCTCCCTGAAATGATACCTAACAGGCCCTTCTAGCATCACAGGGCTCAAGGCTCCAGACAGCACTGACGCAGTGAGACAGTTACTGCACATGCTTACTCCCAGCCTACAGATCTGCACCCCATGATGACAGCTGCCCTCATCTCCAACAAGCCTGAGTTTGTGAGACTCTTCCTTGAGAATGGGGTGCGGCTGAAGGAGTTTGTCACCTGGGACACCCTGCTCTGCATGTATGAGAACCTGGAACCATCCTGCCTCTTCCACAGCAAGCTGCAGAAGGTTCTGGCTGAGGAATCTGAGCGCCTGGCCTGTGCCCCTACCACACCCCAGCTGCACATGCACCATGTGGCCCAGGTGCTGCGAGAGCTCCTGGGGGACTCCACACAGCTGCTGTACCCCCGGCCCCAGTATAGCGATCACCCGAGGCTCTCGCTGCCTGTGCCGCCCATTAAACTCAATGTGAGTGCTGGTAACATGGGTATCAGGGATGTGGGTGCTGGTGACATGTGCCAGTGATGTGAGTGCTGGTGACATGGGTGCCAGCAACCTGTGGGTGACCTGCATGCTGGTGATGTGCACAGTCTGGCTTCTTGGTGGGTGGTAGCTGTGTCCTCAGCTGTGTTTATAGTGAGCTCTCATGCTCATCAGAAAAGAGATGTATACTAGCTTTGTGTGGGGACATGCCTGTAATTCAGCACTTGGGAGGCTGGGGCAGGAAGGTGCTCTCCAGCAGTTCAAAGGCAGCTTGGGCCACAAACTGAGATAGGCTGGGGGCGGGAAGCGGGGAGGGATGGGGAGAGGAGGAAGAGAGAGGGAGAAAGAGAGAGATCCCTAAAGCCACCAATCCCCCCCCCCCAAGCAATGAACTATGCACCCTATCCAGATGGCATGGGCTGTCGTGGAATCCCAGATTTGAACCTCAAACAGCAGAAGCCTAGTACCTACATCGTCCCAAGGCTGGGGTCAGGCAATAGTAAAGGCCCTGCTTCTGGGCCTGCAGGTGGGGCCTCATGCGGAGTCTTCACATGGGAGGGAGGGCAGAGACAGGGACCTCTTCTGAATAACCTCATTTGGACTTAGTTACCTCCATAAATATGTGTATTGGTGACTCATCTCCTCACTGTGACCAGATAACCCGACAGAAAGCAACTTAGGAAGGAAAGGTGGGTTTTGACTCACGGTTCTAGGATGCGGTCCATCAGAGTGGCGGGGCCTGAGGCAGCTGGTCACTTTGCACACATGGTCAGAAAGCATAGGTGTGGACCTACAGGGGGCACTGTGAGTCACAGACCCAAGGGTAGTGTGACCACTGCACATGCACTTGGGTTGGGGACTGTATCGAGAGGATTCCTTTGCTTCCTTCTGTGACATGAATCTGATGAATCATAATGTGTATCTATATGTGCGTGTGTGTGTGTGTGTGTGTGTAATGTGTGTGGTTTGTGTGTGTGTAGTGTATGTATGATATATGTGTAGTCTGTATGTGGTGTATGTGATGTGTATGGTATAGTCTATATGTGTGTATATGTGTGATATGTGTGTCTGCATGCAGTGTGTGATATATATGTGATGTGTGTAGTATGTATGTGGTGTGTGATGTGTGTGCATGTATGTGTAGTCTGTGTGTGGCATGTGGTATGTGTGGTGTGTGTCTGGTGTGTGGTTGTGTGTGTTGTGTGTGTTGTGTATGTGGTGTATGTGCTGTATGTGGTAAATGTGCATGTTTGTGTGTTGTGTATGTCTGTGGAGTGGTGTGGTGTGTGTATGTGTACATGTTCATGTGTGCACATGTGTGCCTGTGTAGAGGCCAGAGGTCAATGTCTGATCACTTCTTCAATGTTCACCGCTTGCTTTGAATCCCACTGAACCTGAGCGTGCTCTTCTGGCTGCCTGGCTGACTAGTGGGCCCCAGGAATTCTCCAGTGTCTTGGGGTTATAGACATGCACTGCTGGGATGGACTTTTTTTTAACATGGATTCTGGAATCTGAACTCAGGCCTTCAAGCTACCCATTGAGCCATCTTCTCAGTCCCTGGAGAATCATTTGATCGAGGTCCTGAGAGTGAAATGCATCGTTTCTGCTGTGACTCACTGAGAGCAGTGTGTCTGTTCAAGGCCAGATCTGCCAGTGTCTGCAAAGCTTGCATGTCCAGATGTTTAAGCCTTTGACACAGTACCACTGTGGGGTTGGGCTGGGCAGGCTCTGGTATCCATTCGTGTGGGCTTTTGGAGACCATGGGGGATTTTCTTGCTGTGCTCCTGGTCAGCTCACACGGTGGGTGTGGACGGCTTCCTGCAGCATGGGTCCCTCTGGACCTGGTGCCCTTCCTTCCCTCCTTCCTTCCTTCCTTCCTTCCTTCCTTCCTTCCTTCCTGGTAGCAGTTTTGATAACTTTCTCTACTTCCTTCCTGATTGCTCTTCTCTTTTAGGCTCTATGTCTCTTCTATGATCACATCTGGCTTTGATTTTTTTCTGCTAGGGAATTTGTCCATTTCTTCCAGATTTTCCCAAGAGTCTGTTGATCCAGACAGCCATGCCCAGACCTCAAAGACACAGTGGCAGCTTGGTTTACACACAGTTCTACTCCCCCTGACTCCAGGGCATTTATGGAGGGGCCTCAGTTGGAATAGCTTAAGAAGGCCCAGAGCAGAATTTTGCACGTAACTTTACCTAAAGTTAAACTAATTTTATCTAAGGATAAGCCTTCAAGAAGTTTCTGGAATCATCTAAAGAAAGAGTGATTTTGCATGTGATTTGGGAATGTGTTCTCTGTGACCTTAGGCAGTTGTTTCCAGCCCCGAGAATATGTCTGCTCAGCCGAAAGCTGGAGTTTCCATGGTGCTGTATGTCCTTGTGTGTTTCCTGTTGCTCACACAGTACTCTTTCTCTTAGGTAGAGTTTTCCTATGTAGTCCTGGCTCACCTGGAACTTGCTATGTAGACTAGGCTGTACTCAACTCACAGAGATCTGCCTGCCTCTGCCTTTCAAGTGCTGGGATTAAAGGTGTGCGCCACCATGCCCAGCTTTTTAAAAAATTTATGTTTGAGTGTTTTGCCTGCATGTATGTAAGTGCACTACATGCCTGCAATACCTAAGGAGGTCAGAAGAGGGTGTAGGATCCCCTGGAACTGGAGTTATGAATGGTTGTTAGCCACCACGTGGGTCCTGGGAACTGAATGAATCCAGGTCCTTTGCAAGAGCAGCCACTGCTGTTACCTGCTGAGCCATTCCTCTGGCCCCTTGTGTAGATTCTTGCCACCCACTCCTTAGCTCTTTCCTGGTGGCTTTTTCTGTAGGAGACACTAGGTTAGGTTCCTTCCTAAAGCTCATAGCTACTGATCTACACAGACTGAGCATTCATTGAGAAAGGCTTTGGTGCCATAAGGAAGTCTGGATGCCTGGCATATATCAACGGTCTAAAATGTTGTGACGGGCACAGATCGATGTTCTACTTTTAGACATTTCTAGATGTCTCTGCAATAATGGTGTGTTGGTCACAGTCAGCTTCTGTCACTGAGACAACTTAGAAAGCTGTTCCCCTCATTCATGGTGACTGGGATCCCAATACTTAACTTCAAGGGTGTGGTCTCATGACCCGGTTTCCTTCTACTAGGGGCTCTGCCTCAGGGATGGGGACCTGAGGTCAGCACAGGGCAGGATCCACACAGCCACATGTCCCTGGGGTTCTGATGTCAGGGGCCTCTGTGGGACTCCAACTGTCCTCTGTCTACCAGGTGCAGGGAGTGAGCCTCAAAGCCCACTATAAGCGATCAACAGGCCATGTCACCTTCACCACGGACCCAGTCCGAGACCTCCTCATTTGGGCTGTTGTCCAGAACCGCAGGGAGCTGGCAGACATCATCTGGGCTCAGGTACCAGGACTGGATTCTCTGTAGACATGGCAATGTGTGGCCCCAGTGACCGGTGTCAGGAGTGCCCTTTTCCCACTGCGAGCTGTAGCTCATGGCTATGCAGGACAGAGCGGTCTATAGCCAGGGAGACTTAGAATGCCCTGCAGGAACAAGAGTCTTAGCTCTTGGTAAGAGAAGAATCCTTTATAAAAAGAACTGTTATTTGTGCCAGGCATGGTAGCATATGCCTTTAATCTCAGCACTTGGGAGGCAGAGGCAGGTGGATCTCTGTGAGTTCTAGGCCAGTGTGGTCTGCATAGCAAGTTCCAGGCCAGGTGGGGCTGCAGAGAGACTCAGAAGAAGGTAGCAGAGCCCCCTGGAACTGGAGTTACAGAATTGTTAGCCACCATGTGGGTGCTGGGAACTGAACTGGAGTTCTCTGCAAGAGCAGGCAGTGCTTTTAATTGCTGAGGCATCTCTCCAGCCCCAGCAGAAGAATTCTTAAAGAAAAAAGAAAAGAAAAAGAACAGAAAAGAAAAACCCTTTAAGCAATTTACTGTGGTTACGTTCAGGGCCTGAGGTTGTAGGCAGTGCTGTTCTCTGTGGCCTGCCCAGGTCCTGGTGGGCTGGTGCCTGTCTGTTTATTTCACCTGCTAGGGAGATCTGCAGGGCAAGCAGATAGTGCCCATGGACCAGTGCAGGAGGCAGCCATCCAAGGGGTTATGTGTCTATGTGAATGACTCAAGTTGTTTATATGGACAGCGTCCACAAAAATTCATTGCTCAGCAGCCTGCGGGGTCCTGGGCATCTGTCACCACCATGTGTTTCTGGGGCAGAGGCAGGCAAGCCTGGCAGGTCCCCCACAACCTTATACTGCTCCCTCTGTCCCAGGGCCAGGACTGTATCGCTGCAGCGCTAGCCTGCAGCAAGATCCTGAAGGAGCTGTCCAAGGAGGAGGAGGACACGGACAGCTCAGAGGAGATGCTGGCACTGGCCGATGAGTTTGAGCACAGAGCCGTTGGTGAGCTCTCTGGGGCCACCTGTGCTGTCACCATGGTCTCCATCCCTGGATGTTAACCCCAGTGCTGTCACCCAGGACCCTTGTCCCTATGTCTGGGTGTTTGGGGACAGTGTCCCATGTGTCAGTCTTGCCCTGTGTCCTGCCCCTGTGGCAGGCACCACCTGGAGGGCTGGCTCTCTGACTGTCCCTTGCTCAGGGACTGATCCTGCTGCTCTGATGGCCCTTCCTCCTCTGCCCAGGCGTCTTCACCGAGTGCTATCGGAAGGACGAGGAAAGAGCCCAGAAGCTGCTGGTGCGTGTGTCGGAGGCCTGGGGGAAGACCACCTGTCTACAGCTCGCCCTGGAGGCCAGGGACATGAAGTTTGTGTCTCATGGAGGCATTCAGGTGACCTTCTGAGGGTCCACTTCCAGAATCAGGTGCCCAGGGTTTCCCAGAGTGGCTTGTGCTGATGGCATGGGCGCTCACAACCATGTGACTCCTTGGTGTCCGGGATAGCTCCTGATACCCTGCCACATGCTGATGGACAGGCACATGCCTCCTGGTTTGGGGATGAGGAAATTAACGTGCAGCAAAGGCTAGCAAGCATGGAGTTACGGAAGTCCTACAGGGGGCTGCAGGCAGCCCTGGTGTACCCCAAGAACCTATGTTGCCTGGGGGCCTCAGGAGGGACAGGGGACATTGTGGCCTTCTGGAGCAGCAGGGGGCAAAGATCATACCCCTCTGTTATGGCTCATAGCCTCACACTGTCACCATGTCGCTGGAACTCCGTGTGTCCTGGGCTGTGCAGGGCCTGGGGACACCTGGAGGGGAGTCTAGCCCTGTCCTATAGTTCAGAAAAGGGTCTGCTTGTGACAGCCTGGGACTGTGTGGCCTGGGACCTTACAGGGATTGGAGATCCTGCAACTAGAGGAGGGCAGGCAGGAGGGGAGTCAGAGCCCCATGTGATAAGCCCACTCTGCCACTTACCACTGTGACAACATGGTCTGGTCCTGCCCACTCAGAGCCCTGATTCCTCTGCCGGCTGATGGTGGGGTGCCTGTCTCATGATGGCCACTTGTGGTCAGGGGCTCAGAGTGCTATGATTGTGAGGGTGTCGCCATCACTCACCCTTAGGCAGCTGTGGGGAGGGGCAGGGTCAGGCCAGCTGGGTGCTGCTGTCCTGAAACCACTCTGTCCCCAGGCCTTCCTGACCAAGGTGTGGTGGGGCCAGCTCTGTGTGGACAATGGACTGTGGCGGATCATCCTGTGTATGCTGGCCTTCCCACTACTCTTCACCAGCCTCATCTCCTTCAGGTGAGGGAGGCTGGGGGCGGGGCCTCCTTCAACAGGACAATGTACAGGGAGTCCAAAGGCAGAGGCCCTATCCCTGGTATACAGTGGCTAAGCCCCTCTCAGACACAAGCTAGGTATTCCACCTCCTTACACCCTGGGAGATGGGGACCTGGCCTAGAGTGTCCCAGAGGAAACCGAGGCACAGTAGAACAGCCCAAGTACCCCAAAGGCAACCTCAGTCTGCCCTGGCCTCTTGACTCCAACCCCACACAGACCCAGGAGGACCAGGAGGCAATCACATCCTGCCTTGGGCCCTGGCCTCTGGACTCCAACTCTGCACAGACCCAGGAGTCAATCTTCCATGTCTTGCCTATGGCCATGGACAGCCTCTTGTGACCTTTCCAGTGCAGAGCTGCACCTGTATTTCCAGTAGTGGCTGTGTCAGAGCACATCCTCCTGGGCACTGGCCATCCTGGTTAGCCGGCTGTTCTAAAAGACAGCAGTGCCAACCCATACCCATTTGTGGGGGTATCCAGGCTCAAGTTCTTCCCTAACTCCAAGAGCACTGTACTCAGAACCTAACCTACGCTGGGCTCACAATCAGGTCATGTCCTTGGGCAGGAGCCATGATGTCCATGGCCTGGGTAAGGATGTGAAGGAGGTTGACTCCTGGTCCTCCTGGGTCCATGGAGTTTGTGTTGGTCTGTCTGTAACTGCTGTGTGACCTCGGTGCCTGATGAGGTGTCCTTGTCTCCAGCATATTAGCCTGTTGAATCACATCTCTTGTGAATACAGTAAGGATCCTTGGGGGACCTAGGTCTGTGGGCTGTTGGGCCTCCAGCCCATCAGCCGCTTGCTGTCTGTCATTGCAGGGAGAAGAGGCTGCAGGCCCTGGGTCGCCCGGCCCGTGTGCGTGCCTTCTTCAATGCGCCTGTGGTCATCTTCCACCTGAACATCCTTTCCTACTTTGCCTTCCTCTGCCTGTTTGCCTACGTGCTCATGGTGGACTTCCAGCCCTCACCGTCCTGGTGCGAATGCATCATCTACCTGTGGCTCTTCTCCCTGGTGTGCGAGGAAATGCGGCAGGTGCTCACTGCTCCCTCTCCACCTGTAGTGGACTGTCCACCAAGCGCCTGTTACCACCACGCCTCCCCAGACCCCCTGGGAGCTTGGCAGGACCCTGGGAGGCAGGCACCCAGTCCTTCACTGGGGAGCCCTGTGATCCAATATCTCCAAGGCTTGGCTGCCCTGCTGGAGCTGGGCTTCTGGACCTTTCTGAAGCAAAGCCTACACGGCTGACCCGAGTCACCAGCCGCTCCCGAGGCTGTGGTTGTTCTATGTGGCTCAAGGTCCCTCACCTGTGTGATCACACCATATGACCACCTTTGCATACGTATGTAGCCTCTCATTGCCAAGTGTGGGGTCCCGTGACCATACCAGCTTTGATCATTTGCAAAAGACTCAGGCTGACAGGGAGAGCCAAGAACATGGCTGTGGTTCATTCCAGGAAAGGGCTTAGAGTAAAACCCACCAAGCACAGAGGCACCCATGGACTACTGACCAGAGCATCCAGCGGTCCCCTCTCTAAGAGGCAGGGACAGATCTCGCCTTTCCCTGCATATGTGACAGCGCTAAGGGCTGATGCCATCCAGGGCAGCTCCTGTGAGCCTGAGGGCTGAGGGTTTGTACTGGAGGTCAGTCACACAGACACAACTCTGCTCTCGTGGCTGACCTGTCTCCAGCCTCTTTGGAGGCTGAGCTGGTCCTGAATGGCCCGTATGACCACCTGGACTTGCTCGAGCCCCCAGACAGACAAGACATTCCTATCAGGATGCTCCAGGAACTTGAGGTCACCTCTCAGGACAGAGGACTGACTGGCCTTTGAGCGGGTTAACCCTTTGTGGTGTGGGATCCCCACTGCATCCCTGTAGTGTCTGCTGGATACCTCCCCTGCTGGGGTCCCCAGGAAGGAAGCTCGGGGACAGGGCTGGGGCTGGGACCGGACGAGGGTGAAGCAGCGGCAGCGGTGAGGTTTGACGCTGCTGTCTCCTTGGACCTCCGGGCTGCTTGGGTCTCCTGCTGTCCCTCCGGCCTAGCTTCCGGGCTGCTTGGGTCTTCTGCTGTCCCTCCGGCCTAGCTTCCGGGCTGCTTGGGTCTTCTGCTGTCCCTCCGGCCTAGCTTCATTTCTGTTGCTGCGATAAAATACCCTGATCAAAGGTAACTTGGGGGAGAAAAGGTTTATTTCAGTACACAATTCCGAGTTACGGCCCATCACTGTGGGGAGTCATGGTGGCAGGAGCTTGAGACAGCTGGTCACACGACATCCCAGTCCAGAGCAGAGAGAGACGAATGCTCGAACGCTCGCTTGCTCCCTCGCTCGTGCTCAGCTGCCTTTCTCCACTCTCATACGGTTAAGGACCTTCTGTGTAGGGAGCGGTGCCACCCACAGTGGGCGGGGTCTTCCCACAACAATTAATTAAGACAGTCCCCCACAGGCCAGGCCAATGCAGACAGTCCCTCACTGAGACTCTCTTCCCAGATGATTCTAGGTTGTGTCCAGTTGGCAATTCAGCTAACCATCAGACACTGCACAAGTGCTTCCACGCCCCAAGCTCATCTCACTTGGCAGTCCCTGGACAGGCAACATGTGCTTCTTCTAGAATCTGTCCCATGGGCCCAGAAAAGGGACATGCCTGGCTTTGGGAGTTGGGACCTAGTATCAGGGAAGGGTGGGGACTCCCACCACCGCGTGGGGCTCCTGGCATATCCTCCAGGGTTTCCCTTTCAGGGCTGTTTTTTCCAGAGTAAAGACCCTAGGGGAGGTGCTGGTAGCTGACTAGAAGGGGACTTCTCCAGCACACATGTATACACATGCACATGCATGCACACACATACACATGTCTGCACACACATACATGTACATACACACATGCACATGTGCACATATACACATGCACATATATACACATGTGTGCACACCCATGCACAACACATGCTCCTACATATATACATGAATGTGTTTGTACACACACACACACACACACACATGCACACACTTACTACAGGACCCTGGTTCATGGAAGTCTCCAGCTGTCAGCAGAGTCTCACCTCCATCCCAGGCTACTCTTGGACTTGTTGAGGGCTGAGGTCCACCCTCTCCCCCTACACGGTCCCCAAGCTCTGTGCACAAAGGAAGGCAATGTGGATGTGATGGCAATGGGGCTGTTGGCTTCCCCTGACTGTGGTCTCCTCAGTAGCTCTTCTATGATCCTGATGGGTATGGGCTGATGAAGATGGCATCCCTGTACTTCAGCGACTTCTGGAACAAGCTGGACATTGGTGCCATTCTGCTCTTCATAGCAGGGCTGACCTGCCGGTGAGTTGTTGAGGGCTGAGGTCCACCCTCTCCCCCTACACAGTCCCCAAGCTCTGTGCACAAAGGAAGGCAATGTGGATGTGATGGCAATGGGGCTGTTGGCCTCCCCTGACTGTGGTCTCCTCAGTAGCTCTTCTATGATCCTGACGGGTACGGGCTGATGAAGATGGCATCCCTGTACTTCAGCGACTTCTGGAACAAGCTGGACATTGGTGCCATTCTGCTCTTCATAGCAGGGCTGACCTGCCGGTGAGTGGCCAGGATGCCCTTCCATGTCCCTGCATGGCACCAGGGCCCAGCCAGCTCAGGACAGGATCAGGAACTCAGTTCTCACCTGTCCGTGGGTGTAGTGGTGGCCAGTACCTTGCCTGCCTTGTCAGGGTGTGTGACCGCCCCTTGTCCACCTGGGTTGTTGCCATGTGCAGAGGCCACCAGTCACAGACACATGGTGTCCCTTCTGCCCCTCCCTGCTGGGTTATATCCCACTCTCGACAGCTCATGCATCTGAGAGGTTGTGGTTCACTGTCTTTGTGAGGTGGGCAGGACATGGCCGAGCCTGCTTGTTTCCTGGCATGTCCTCATGGCTGGGCTTCTAGACTATTCTGAAGCAAAGCTGGATTCTCCATGGAAATTCTGCCCCTGATGTCATCTTCAGCTTTGACACATTAAAGCCAGAGTCCTCGAGAGCCCTGTGCCTCCAAGGGTCACCCCTAGGCCAGGCAGAGGCTTTGGAAGCCTGGCTGGCAGAGTCTGAGGTGCTGCTTGCCATGCTCACTGTCAGGCTCATCCCGGCGACGCTGTACCCTGGGCGCATCATCTTGTCTCTAGACTTCATCATGTTCTGCCTCCGCCTCATGCACATCTTCACTGTCAGCAAGACGCTGGGGCCCAAGATAATCATCGTGAAGAGGATGGTGAGGACAGAGGGGGCTGCCTGTGAGGGGCTGGGGACGTGCCTGCTGTGAGGGAGACTGAGGGCTGTGCCAATCATGAAGGAGGTAGGGTGGCTTGGAGCTCACCACCAGTCCCGTGTCCTGCCCCTGTGTCACCCTCGGAGTCTCTGGATGCACGTCCTCCAGGCCACCCTCCCAGGTTCCCAGCTTGTGTCCACTGCTGCTCAGCTGCAAGCCCTTTCCCTTTGGGGTCACCATTGTCTGACCTCCTCCCACACCTTGGGGCATGCCCTGTAAGGTTGTAGGGAAGCCTGCATCTATGACATGGTGGTCTTGGGAGGAGGGTGTCCAAGGTGGGAGGTGCAACCTTGTGTTTTGCTCTCTACAGATGAAAGATGTCTTCTTTTTCCTCTTCCTCCTGGCGGTGTGGGTGGTATCCTTCGGGGTGGCCAAGCAGGCCATCCTCATCCACAATGAGAGTCGGGTGGACTGGATCTTCCGTGGGGTCGTCTACCACTCCTATCTCACCATCTTTGGGCAGATCCCAACCTACATTGATGGTAGGAGCCAGGCTACAGGCACCTGAGGGGCAAGGCTGGGGAACAGAAAGAGATGGGGTTGGGATCCCCATCAGAGCTCTCTGAGGGCCTATGGTTATAGGAAATGGGGTACATCAGCTCTCTGAGGGCCAGGAAAGCTCAGGGCTCCTCTGGGTCACCGTTGCTCTGGGTGTGGATGGCCATTGACAGAAAGCAAAGGGTATCTGCATTGCCCAGTTGAGGAACCTGTGCTCACTGTGGCCAGAAGTGTGTGTGTGGGTAGCCTGTTCCCCTCTCCCTCACCCTACCCCAGTCAGAAATGATTTCTTCCTCTCTGATGGAGGAAGAGAGTATGTGCATGTGTGTACAAGTATATATATGTGTGCATGTGTGCATGTATGTGTGCATGTATGTGTGTGCATGTGGAGGCCAGATGACAGCCTCACTTGTCCTTCCTTAGGAGCTGCCCACTGTGGTTTTTGAGACGAGGTCTCTCGCTGGCCTGGGACTCACCCGGTAGGCCAAGCTGGCTGGCCAGTGAGTCCTAGGAATCCTCCTGTTTCCTCCTCCCCAGCACTGGGATTACAAATCTGTACCACAATGCCTGCTTTTTTACATGGGTGCTGGGGATCAAACTCAGATCCTTATGCTCACAAAGGAAACGTGTTTACTGACTGAGCTCTCCCTCAGCCCCGTGTTTGTTTGCTTCCTTCCTTCCTTCCTTCCTTCCTTCCTTCCTTCCTTCCTTCCTTCCCTCCCTCCCTCCCTCCCTCCCTCCCTCTCTCTCTCTT